GAACATAATAACAGATGTAACAATGCCCAAGTAGGGTACAACTAAAGTAACAATCTTCTCTGGAACATAATAACAGATGTAACAATGCCAAAGTAGGGTACAACTAAAGTAACAATCTTCTCTGAAACATAATAACAGATGTAACAATGCCCAAGTAGGGTACAACTAAAGTAACAATCTTCTCTGGAACATAATAACAGATGTAACAATGCCCAAGTACGGTACAACTAAAGTATTCATTTTCTCTGGAACATAATAATAGATATAACAATGCCAAAGTAGGGTACAACTAAAGTAACAATCTTCTCTGGAACATAACAACAGATGTAACAATGCCCAAGTACAAAGCAGCAAATTTAAGCAGTATATCAAATGACAGATCTTACACTGTATTCAGTAACACAAGTGTAAAGAGGTTATAATTTCATTGTATTGATTACTTGTTAGGCCACATTTGTAGTATTGTGTTCCATTTGCCCTTACACTAGCAACAGAACATTGATTGGATGATTTTTAGTGACTGATCAACTATTACACCAAGTTAATTTTTTTTATTTCTTATACTTCTAGCATTACAGTAGTAACAATTTAGCACACCCTTAAAACTATTTCTGTATTTTGTTTCTACAGTAAACTTTTCTCTTGACCTTATTTTTCATACATTTAGTTTATTCTGACACTTTCAACTGTCTAGTCATATTTTAAAGATGCTTTTACAGCTGAGTTAATAGTTCTTGCAAACAAGCTAGCCCCTGCCCTATTTAAGTGTAAACCATCCATTCCAAAAACTTCCTTTTTCTCATGGAACTGATCCCAGAAGTCCAATTAGCCAGTTTGTAAGGTATCTTGCACTGGGTGCCATAACCTGGCTTTTGGTTCATTCCATGGTACCAGATCTGCATACTCAAAATGGATGCTTGCTGGTGTGACTTTTTACAGCATAATTTCCGTATGTAATTTATCCTAACTAATATTAAGTACAACATATGGCATTATCACAGTAGCTTCTCAATAATTGCCTGCGGTTTACTCAAAGTTATGGTTCTGGCTCATCATACCACAATAACATTGAAGCAAAAGGTGCAAGGTATTTGTAGCTGATCTGATGATTCTGTTCTAGCATTCTTTGGTTGAATATTTTGAACAACTGTTGTAGTATTTAAAATTTCCCGACCAGCACTGATGATAACATGCTGTGGCTCATGAGGAACAACATTTTCTGTAAATTTCATAGACAATGTTTACTTTAAGGATATCTTAATTCATACAACAATTATGTTAGACATCTCATAATTTCATAAGAGTTCATCCTTTTAGGAGCAACTTTAGCAGTAAACTGATTTACAGATTACAGGATGAGGTGTTTACAGAACCCACTTGAAACACTACTGACTGTCTTCTGTAATAGTAGGAAATCAAAACCTTTTTGAAAAAGAAGTTTAGAATATTAAACAGTTGCTTAGAAGAAACTGTATTTCCCATTATTGTTCCTAAAAGAATAATCCACACCCGTGCCGAAAAACTCTGCCACATCTGTTGTTATGTTCCAGAGAAGATTGTTACTTTAGTTGTACCGTTTATAAAAGGATTTAGGTCATTTGGTGAGTTGGTCAAAGGAGTAGCACATGGCTTTTTAATGCAAGGTTAATGTATGTAGGTTACCAGAATTTAGATTATAAGTATCACTTTAATGGAAATAACCTGTGTTATGGTAAAAATGGAATGCTGATGTTTTGGTTGTTCAGTCTTTAAAGCCATTCAACAATGTGCTGTTACTAACAGTAAAGCAAATAGTTATAGAAATATAAGATTAAATTATCCCTTCACACAATAGGGAGGTGGTATTCTTTCATTTCCTGTTAATTATTGTTATGTTTATATTCCACTTATGCATAGTGCCAGTTCACAAGCCATTACAACCAACTTCAACACTATTCTCATAGCAAGATAAAACTGTCACTTCAATAATAGGGATGTCTAGTACAAATAGCCCTTGAGTAGCTTTATGCAAGGTTCATCAAACAAATTCACAACTCTAACACAACAAATTCTCCAAAATATAACCAGAAAAGAAAAATCAATCATAAGAAACTTCAAAGCATTCGTTCATCACCATTCTTCCAGTTGACAAAAAAAACGAGACTGTTTTTTGGATGAACTACAATACCACAAATAACTCTGACCCTTCATCTAGGAAGGACCATATAAATCTGCAGAAAAAGATCCAACCAATAGACTAGTGAAGCATATTAATTAAGAAATATAAAGCAGAAAATGCAAAATCATTATGAACAGCAGCAAACTGCCACAACTCTATGGACTATCTAAAATTCATGAACTAGAAATTCCTTTTCGATCCATCATGGATGCCCTTGGCTCCTCCAACAATTATCAAAATATCTCACCATCCTTGTATTCCTTTTGTAAAACAACCTTGAAACCAGTATAATCAGCTCTGCTTTTCTAGTCAAAGAAACCAAATAAAAAGTCCTGCAACCAGGAGACAGACTGGTGATCTCAGACGTCACAGATGTGTTTCTCATTATTCCTTGCAACCTTACTCTTCATATTGTGCAGACGGGTGAAGATTGCAGCTATGTGAGGCTACCAATAATTTTGGTGTCCTTGCCATTAGATCACAGTCTTGTTCTGTCAAGAACCATGTAGATGCTGGTGAGAAGTGGTTTCTCCACGATAAAAAAGTCATGCACAGGTGTCTTCCATGGGATCAACAACGTCTAGTACTTTCTTCATGCCCTTTGATGACCGGCTAATGACTACAGGAGTAGGATTGTGAGTTATTGAAACAAGTAGTCAGTAACTAGCATGGAGACTGCTGTTATAAGAAGGTCGTCTAACATTTTGATGATACAAGAGTGTTTTCTGGCAGCTGTAACTGCGCAGTCTTCTTTAGGATCCACTCTGCTCACCCCAATTGGAGAGGGAGCTAGAAAAGGGTCCCATGACATAACGTCTTACCTTTTCCTGATTTCAAACCAAACCAAAATTGCAAGGTGTTGGTTTGGCTGCTTTTGTTGCTATTCTCATGGCTGCATTCTTTAATCTCTGTAATTTGGTCTTTGTTGAATTTGATGCACACAAGTTGATTCCATACTCCAATTCTTGTTATAGCTGCTGTTCTCGTCAGGTTGATGAGTTTTTTTTTTAGCACTTCTTGGGTTTCAGCATATATTTAAAGAAGCTGAGACTATTTATTGAATTTTCTCAAAGATAATAAATATATGCAGAAATTCGATGAAGAGGAACCCATTTTGAGACTAATAATGGCTGGAGACGGCTTGAATGGGTAATGAAGAAAAACTTTAATATAAGTTTAACATAACTTTCAACAACGAAGCATACCTGGAATTTACTTAGGTCTAAGCCAAGACTAAGTTTTAAACACATTTAGCAAAATATACCTGATGATGACGAAACCTTGTCGAAACGTTGTACATTTGCTGTTATATTAAACTTATATTAAAGTTTTTCTTCATTACCCATCCAAGCCGTCTCCAACCATTATTATATGCAGTAATTGTCATTCTGCGGTCCTTCACAATACCTATAAAAGTAACAGATCTCTTTATGTGGAACTCTTGTGACTGCAGTGTGAAATCTTTTAGCTAACGTTCAGAAGGCTTTACCTGGTTGGATGTCTTTTGCTGGATCCTTGCATACCACCCACTTCTCTCATTAATGTGTTGGAGACAATTGCAACAATTATATCGTCAACATGACAAATGTTATTTTCTGTGTTTATTTAATTACAATTCACTGATAATTACGTAATCCTGTTTTTGAAAACATTTGGAGAAAAGCGAAATAAGTTATAATTAAAGATATTTAGAATCAAATTGATTGTTCATTTTACGTAATTTTTACTTATCAGAAAAGTAAAACATTTTTAGAACCAATTCGATATTCTTCAGATAATATAAATAGTACTAAAGTACAATTGTTATTCAACTGAAATCGCTAGATGGCGACAGAAAGTCGAGTCAGAGCCGCCTATCTGCTATAGATGGCTCTGAGTTGAATAGAAAGATAATAACCAGTAAATGTTATGGTGGGTTAACCATGCTTGAAGCGGGCTTTGATTTCTAGAAAAATCAAAAAGGTTTGGGAAGGAGGAAGCGATTATTCCAAGGTAAGTTTAGGTTTGTTGTATACCTTTAAGTTTATTTTATCTATTTTACTAAATGTGTTTAAAACTTAGTCTTGACTTAGGCCTAAGTAAATTCCAGGTAAGCTTCGTTGTTGAAAGTTTATACGAGGCTGAGGCAAGATTAACTACCTGCACAACCACAATTTGTCACTGTTATTGTTAAAAAGTAATACTAATTAACATTACAGATATTAAGTTAGTAATTGGAATATAACAGTGGAATTTCCTTCTACTGCCAATGTTATGTTAATGTTATCATGTTTGCACGAAAAATTTTCGGAAAGCTCCGAAAAGTAAAATTTTTATTATTACTATTAATTTTAAGTATTAATATTATGAAGTTTAATGACAGATTCAGCCGATGGAATCGAAATTCGCTAATATTAGCTAAAGTTGCTGAATTCTCAAATTCTGTTACTATTTTGTGTATTTGACACTGACAGTGACAGCAAGTACCTGTCGAACGCACGAATCTGTGTGAATATTGCATTATTAGCAGAAATTCTGAAATAGGCATTTACAGTATAGGAACATAGTAACACTAACAACATTACTAGTGCTACAACATAGGACAGCTATTAGTGTTACACTGGGACAATTGAACTTGGGCATTTGGAATCTTTACTAGTATTAGGTTATCTTTAATTTTAAATTTAAAATAGAAAAAGGGACATTTTAGATTAATTGCTCTGTCATTTCAATGTTTAATGAAGTTGGCTTTGTCTTGAGCATCAAATTATATGTAGCTTAATTATACACGACATAAAAGAAATTTTAGGTTAAAATTAGATTTAATATTATATGAAATTTCCCGAGGAAAAGAAATTATATTAGTAAATATGATGATAATTTTTTATTATAACATGAAATAGTCCGGATAGTATTACTACCCTTAACATAATAAAATAGTGTGAATGGTTTGGATTATACAATTATTACTTGTAAATAATCAAATAATAGTGATAAAGCCTAATTAACAATTATTTTTATAAATAAAAGTCAATTAGTTATTCTTAAACTTAAATAAAAACTTCATAACTTGTTTTAGTAAAGTAATAATTGTCTTTGCTGATGTAATATAAAGATTATAGTTCCTAATGCTATATTCTAAACTTATGTAGTATATCAGAGTTTTGAATACATTCCAGATACACTGTAAGGTGCCCTTTAAATATAAAACACAATTTATCACCTTAACTTAGAATTTAACTTTTAAATTCTAGCCAATTTAATGTGTTGCCAATCAACCTAGACATGAATCATAATGGAAAGTGTTTTTTATTGCTGATAGCTGTCAGTATTGAAAAAATTGCCTGTAGGCCCATTTGTTTTAGGAAGTTTTACCACTATTTCATTTTTCTTTTAGATTCAAAAGATCATAATTTAATGTTCAAAGTCAACAGTTTTTTTTTAGTAGGTGAATTTACTACAACTAGAAAATGTTTTGGAGTAAGATATATGTAGATATCAAGGCCAATGTGTGGGCTTTGGACACTGCATTTGCAAGAAAACACTTTAGAGGGGGGTGGGGCAAACAAAAAATACATTATTGGTAACTATTTTTTGCTTTTTGAATGATGAAGACATGAATGAAACTAAGGTAGAATATGTAGCATTTGAGAGTGATATGTAATATATGTAGTGAATTTAATGTTATGTAATGAATCTAACAACTTTGTAATGAATATTTTACACAGTGCCTAGATACCTGGCTGTCCAAAAAATTTAAATATTGATGAGCTATAACAACAAATATTAATTATGATGATGATAATAGTACTAATAATTCAAAAATTATATAAAAATAATATAAATTGTCATATTGGAAGCTTATCAGTTATCATGATCAAGAAATTCTGATACAATACATTACCTCCTCTCACATAGATAACTATTCTCATTTGATGCTGCACTCTATATGTAAAAAAAAAATGTATGCATGCCACAAGCCTTCTATCTCCCCTCCATTGGAATTGACTGATTCCAGTGCATCTCGCATGTAAATCTTGTGTCAACCATCCACTAATAAGAGTGCAACATACTCTCATGACAAATGGACTCCCCCTATTCAGTTCTACCAAACTATCACTTCTCGTTTGGCAGTACTCGTGTTCAGATGTTTTTTTTTTTGGTGCTCTTCGGGTGAATCGTGATTTCATAGTTTAATTTCCAAAGTGGGATTTTTTCATTGTTATTTTATTCTCTACATTGAAGAAATCTTTTAATTTAACTTAATTTCCCAGTCATTATTTTTTTCTCACACTCTCATATTTTACATCAAACACTTTTGTTTGATTTACGTATTTCCTCTATGAATTCTGAGGTTCATGTTCCCACTTAGGGTGTTATATCTCAAGCACTATTTTCACAGGCTGCAGGTGGGGGAGACTCATAGTTGGATTTCTCTGCTGTTATCCATCATGAGATTGATCTTTATATGGGTAAACCTTCTCCTGAAAATACTGAACCCGTTCGGGCCAATTATGATTTGACAGCCTTTTTTACACTACCAGATTTTGCCATGTTTTCTCCTACTCTCTCCTGCAGAATCAACCAAACCTAATATGTCATTTTTGACATAAATTCTTGGATATATTATGTTTAATTCCATTTCCTATTTTTTATGATTCCTTGTTACTTCCATGTTGGCTCATTTGTTGTCTTTGGCTCCCAATTTACACACATGGTTTCACTGTAGTTGGGATTTTCTGGGTTGTGGGTACATTTGGCCTCTCTTTCGTTTCAGGATTTCTGTATATTTTCTTTGGTGATATGTTTTCGATCATGTATCTGAGACTTTGGAATCTCGTGTGAAATCTGTGCATCAACACTTGACCCTTTCCTCTTTGATTGCACGTTTCTCCTAGTTGGAGCTATGACACACCCCTATTTCTTTCCCATCCTGGTCCTTATCTACCTGTCACCTTCCGGGTGTTTCTCGTCTTGTCCTTTTATTCAACATTGATGGGCATGTCGCCAACAGTACCGGAGACTAACAAAAGGGTTCTGATCTTTATATTGTTACTCTTTGCTAATCTTTCACTACGGTACCATGGGTACCTCTGGTTTTATCAGAGAAACTTGTCCTACTGTTTCTTTCTCAATCTCCATTTTCCTTGGTACCCTTTTCCTTCCCCATGACTTGAGATCCTGTGTCTGTCTGAGGTGGTACTAGATTTTCTTTCTCTACAGGCCGTTGCACCTGCTCATCACCTTTATCCAGGCTGTTTGTTGTCCTCCCACCTCTTGTTTGTCCTGCCTCATTATAATTTTCAATCTGCCCCGTTTTACCTTGGAGTTGTTTCTCGCCCTTAGGTGGGCTTTTTCTCCAGGTTTATCAATGACAGAGGAATGTTGTGATTGCTTATATTTCATCACTCCTGACCTTCTCTTGAGTTTATTCTCCCTGGGGTGGTTTCTCTGTTTTGTGCACTGCCCTTCAGACTTGCTTTAGCTCTGTATGTTTTGTCAGGTGTTCAAAGCATTCGTTTGTCACTTATTTGCTCTCATGTTGCACTTTCCTCTTTCTTTGGTTGATTGGTTACTGTTTGCTCATTCCAAACAGGAGTCCACCTGTTACCCTTATCAGCTGCTCCTGGAGGCAGGTATAATGGTCTGTTAATCATGTTGGAAAAGTCCTTACTCCGACCTATCCAATATCTTGTCCACTTGGTGTTTTTTTTTCCTACACACATCTGGATTTTCAGTTCAGTTACAGCTTATGAAGTTCTATCACTTTTGTGGATGTGATCTTTCCGTGATAGTCTTTATCCCCTTAGGTCAGACTTGTATGCAGACTCTTTCATGGGCTTTCACAACCAGTAAAATTTTGCTGGGATCCTTTGTCAGATCTTTTTACCCTTCCTCTTTATCCATTTGTTTTCCAGGTGCTTTGACTTCAGTGGGGTACTTCTCACATTTAGGCTTTTGCTATGTCCCTTAACTACATATTGCCTTGGTTTTGGTTTCTGGTTCCTCATCTTCTTGCTTTGGCTTTCGATGTTTTCAGCCAGGATTGGACCAAAATATTCGTCTATCCTCTCATTCTCCTTCTTTTCTGGGTGATTTTGTTCATCCTTACTCCGTGTTCAGTCCATCTGATAGCTCTTTCCTGGCCATTTCAACTGTGGTTTCTGTGACTTTTCCAGCTCCATTCTCCATTACCTTTTCCTCTGTCTTCATATCTTCTTTGCCACCCTCAGTCACCAGTGTTTCATTCAGACCTTCCATCTCTATGCATGGTTTTCCTCTGGTCATTGGTGAGGTGATTGAGCTTCTCCTGACAGTTAGTCTCTTTTCTGGCTTGTTTTATTCACACTTCCTACATGGAAGTTTTTCAACACAACTTAAATTTTTCCATCATTGGTTTCTGAGTCCAGGGTTTTCCATTGATCAACCCGCTGTTCTTCATCATGCAGATTTCCTCTCTTGACTTTTGGATTGGGGGTCTTCTTTCTCCTCAATCTCGGATTTTTGGGCAGTCCTCTCCCACACCTTTTGTTTTTCCTGATCCTGCAGGTATTTACCTCTCCCAGTGGTCCTTGTTTCACCTTCCCTTATGTCTTCCTTCCTTCTCCTTTTTGCCTGTGGTTGTAGTTGGTTTGTTTATTTGCCATCGATGTTTCATGTACTCTTTATTCTTCTGTCTTCTCCTTTCTCTGGATTATTTTTCCTCCCTAACACTTCAGTGGCTCGTGAGAATAACTCCTCCATTTACCCATATTCCCTTCATTCCGTTTCACACCTTTATTCTATGTCCTGTATGTGCTCTTCTCTATTATCATGCCTGCGTGGCTTTCTTCTGTCGTGTATGTTCCTGCCTATTTCTCCCTTTTCAACTGTCCTCTGTTCATGTTCTTTTTCCTTCACCAGTATGGTTTGGCTCTTCATTTGATTGACTTCTCCCTCTTTATCGTCTTCCTGCTGTACTTTGTTCTGAATGTTTTCTCACTCAATTCGACATCTTACCTTTTCTTATCCAT